TCAATAGAAGAGATTTCATTGGTAATTTACCTGGGTCATAGTGATCAGAATAGGTGAAGAACCCGCCATGCTTTCCCATGGAATCACCGCCCCAACGATCATTCACAACGATGACATCCTTGACAGGACTAAAGCAGTTTAAGTTCAAGCTTCAGTGTAGAAGTTCAGCTCGTCACAATCTTACGTCATTTTCGACAACGTCTCACCAATTTTTAAGATTATGATTCCACTTTTAGAATAAGGTCCAAATTCAGATGAGCAATTTGTCATGCTCAAGCGAAAACACTAAGGGTTTACCCTACAATGGAAAGAACGAGCCCACTAAGGAAACTTGTCATTCTTATGGTTTTTGTCCTCTGTAAAAATTTCGGGAAAAATATAATAGAGGCAAATGTTGAATGGATGTTAGAAACAGAATCTGCTAAGAGAAAATCGAGTTCCTCAATCCTTCAAAGTCGCGCACAACTACTTGAAATAAAAAAATATCAAATATCGTAATAAGAATACCTTGTATTATAAAGCCACGCCAGGAACTCTTTACTTCTCCAGTAGTCGTCGGACTTTTCCCAATCAAAGAGAAAACTGGGGTAACCGGCAGAACAGGCCCCATCCGTCGGGGGGAAAGCAGGCAGAGTCAGGCGGACGAGTCGCAGCGTGCTGTCGATGAAGGACGTCCAGTGGTAAATTTTATTCAACCTGACGCAGAATCACTACAGTACGCGATGCGACCCGTCCACTTCTGTTTCATCTGCCGCGCGACGCCTCTTCCGTGAACCCGAGGAACGGCTACATAGGAGACTCCCTCGTTAGGCGGCAAGGTCGCAAAACATCATACCCTATGCCGGCCATGTTTGAGGGATCTTTGGGATTTTCTTTTTTTTTTTACTTTCTCTCATCACAGAAAATGTAGTACAATACGCTTATTCTCGACCGCAATAACCCCTGTCCATCGCGGAATAAGCCTTTGAACAGAGAATAGGGATTCACCCACATCGACGTATGCTGTTGTATTGTATTTGCAATCGTCAATGAACATTGGGTGAAACCATTCAAACAAGGAGTAGTAGAGACCGAAATGGACGTCTGTTCCTTTGAAGGCATCCTTGATTTCGCCTGAACATCATAACATAAAATAATGATTTCGCCTGAGACCAAAATCTATAGTAAAGGCCTTAACAAAAATATATAAAAGGTATTCAGGAGTCTATTTTCCCGAGGGCAACAAGCTAATGCAACTGTTTGTGACGTTGTATTCAAAAGACAACATGCCTCACCCTGTTACATATGTTGAAGCTTTCAGACAGTTGATGAAACAAAAACTATTCAGGCGGGTTTGTTGGAGTAAGGGGGAGTTGGTGTTATAGTATAGTTTGGGCTGCTGTAAAAGAAAACATATCACAAGCTGATCTGTTTGCTTACGCTTTGAGGCCCCCAACAAATTCAAAGTTAGACAGGTAATAGAACAGAAAATTAGCGTGGAATTGAAGCTCTTGTTACGAAGCTAGGGCAGTTTCTGCCTTTTTCCCCTGTCAACTACACTAATTTCTGAAAGGTTTTGCAGATTCTACAAGGAATGACATTTATCGTTTTGTTAGCTGCCTAAAAGCTTTGGCAGACATTACCTTTCTTTGGCTAGTGGTAAATGCCAGACAAGAGAGTCGTAATCAGATTCACTTTCAGAGGCGGACTGCGTGATAGATTAAGTGCAGGGTGAATAACGGTCGAGGAATTCCTCGACCATGGCTCTCTACCTGTGCGAGAGTAGTGCCGAGAGTGAACATACGCGCGGAGAGCACAGACGGCTCGAGCATGGCGAGTGTGAATGTCCGCGCGGGAGCACAGACGGCTCGAGCATGGCGAGTGCGAATGTCGGCGCGGGAGAACGTAGCTGATCAGGCGAAAATCCTCGACATGCCGTTGAGGAATCCTCGACCGATATTCGCCGTGGTTAGGTGTGATTACTGGACTCGAAAACGAAGATTATTGCACTTGAAAGTAAAACAGATGTGAAGTTCCGGTGGAAAAAGCAATGAAACCTCCGAAAAGATCAAAAAGAGGAATTTTCTCCTGAAGTGACTTAAAACTTACGAAATAACAGGGAACGAGACTCCAGGGACGCTGCTCTGAGGCGATAGAACAGACGTGAAAGAGAGAGCATAATAGACGAGTGAGACCACAAAGCACCCCGTTATGGGGTTCCTCGTTGAGTTTGGACGTTTGAATTTGTTTCCTTTGACACAACATTACTGCTGATGAACGATATGCCTGGTTGGCCTAAATATTGCTTCCTCTACTTTTTGAAAGCGCTGCACTGATGACGGCTTTTTCAGGACTCTCGTCAGTGTCCTATACGGTCCTCCTCGCTGGCTTTCTGGATGTGTACCGGCTATGTTTCTACTCCATAGCTATTCCGTAAGTTCGTTTGGGCTATTTTCTTCTCTAAAACTGTGGGTTGTGGGCTTTTCTTCAAGGTTCGTGCTTTCTTACTTCAAAGCTAACAGCAACAGCTTCTTCAAGGAGATGCTATAAAATTCCTGTACACCATCTATCGTCACGTTTACGGACCAGGACTTTGCACGTTCCAAACCGCCAGGTCGTCCACAAGTGTCAGTTTTCTAGCTCTCGTCCAAAAAGATAGATGTTGATGTGGTTATCCTTAGCTATTTTTTTACTTTGTTGCTGAGCTTACACATTCACGCCGATGGCCGCCCATATGGGCTGCCAACAACATGCGCTCCTGGGACGATGGCAGCCCATATGGGCTGCCAACTGATAATCGCTTGCCAGGCGCTAGGAATGGACAGGTGGGCAAACCTCGTAATCGAGTGTAAAATGCTTTTAAATTCCTTCACGGGGAAAGTGAATAAATGCTCTCTTTTCGTAACCACTATTTGTCGTTCTGATCGAAATCCTACTGTTATATGTTTAGATAATCTTTACGCATTGGACATTGCAGAAATTATTTTGTGACATTCATGTTTTTGTTCATTTACAAAACAAAATCTGCGGTTATGTGGTGAGGCGGCGGCGCCCACAAAATCGCGTCCGTCCCACGCGACCGAAAAGTGTGTTAATCATCTGGATCTAGTCTCTTTGCATACTATCTGAAGTGGTATTCTCTTGGGTTTGCTTCTAAAGTCACAAGCCAAGAAGACTACACACGATGCCAATATTCATCGAACGTCGAACATCTGTACTATATGAAGTGTTCGACGGCATGTCTGTATGACTTACTAAACAATAAACAATAAACAACTAAAGACGCACCAAGAGTGCAAAGGTAACAGTGAAGTAAATGTTTTCTGCTGCTCACCAACAATATCCCGTTTTGGGCCGACATCAACTGCGTTCCAATTCCAACTGCTTTTGCTGGGCCACATGGTGAAGCCTTCATGATGTTTGCTGGTCAACACGAAGTATCTGAAACTTTCTTTTACTCGCTCGCTCCGACAGTGCAGAATTTGAAGAAATTCATGACGATTGTCTTTTTTACTATTTCATTACTAACTGTGTATTGATTGGGGGGGGGGTTCATTACAAGAAACGTTCACGAGCTACATACGTATCTACAGGATTATCGGCTGATTAGGCCAGAAGGGAAAACGTCCTCTGAATGAATTTATCCATAACACTAACGATAAACCAACTTCGCTCCTGATGACTTCACGATATCTGCAAATTCCTTTGCATCGAATAGTTCGGCAGTGAACTGAAATTCATCTCTTTCAAAAGATTCAGTCATTGAGAAAAATGGTCACCTAATGAATGAACTACTGGCATACATATTTCGCTAAATCTTATTCAGTGCACTCAGACAAATTTATTTCTCTTCTTCTTTTTTCTACGATTTTATACCTCTATGATGCGATAGCATCAATCTGTCAAACAATAGTTCACTAGCTAGCGTGTCAACTAACATCTTTGGCGAAGTCCGCGTAGGTTGTGCCGGGCTTATAGTTACGATTTACATAGTTAACAACGTCCTTATCCGGCTTATCGCCCTTCCAGTACCACCAAAACCACTCCGACCTTAAAATTTGGCATGCCACTTGAGTAAGTAAACGTTCTCGTAAGTCCTCACCTGAAAGCTGGAACTGAATAAACTCCCCAATGACAGAAGATTCCAAATTTCACGTCGTCGTACCACTGCGGAAGAGGCCGTGAATCAATTGAAGGCCACTTGGGCTTAAAGAGTGTGAAACTATTATAAGTTCAAGGTAAAAAGTCCTGCTGAATTTGTATGTAATAGTTTTGCATAGACACCTTTTTCTAGTTACAGTAGCACTCAGAGGTATCATATTTTTAGACGCAACATTTCCTACCGGCGGAAAGTGGTGTAGTGGCAAGTGGCACGCTTACCACGCGCGGCGCGTCCGGGGATCAAATCCTGGGTCGTGAGTCGCCCGGGCCAACCAAGCCTTCCATCCCTCCGGGGTCGGTTAATTGGTACCAGACTTGTCTGGGAGGATAAAAACACTGACTTGTACATCGGCTGGCCCCCGCAAGTCATTGTATAGGCCACATCGCATTCAAACGCCACTACGAATGTACAAATGGAAGTAGAATGCGTGCCGCATCCCAAAAAGGGATTGATCAACGGCAAATGCTTTACCTTATTTTATTTTTTTAAACTTTCTTCTAGTGTATTTGACTGAGCAAAATTTATAAACCCTCAGCGGTACCATTTCGTGAACCATTTCAAAATATTCTATCCGAAAGGTAGCAGATCTACGCTATCACTCGATAAGTTTTGTGACCACTGCGACTTGCTTTGATTTCCTAGATTTACCTGTTCTTTTACATATATACATATATATTTGCATTTTTTCACATGCTTTTGGTTTTATATTGATAGTCGCACTCTTGAAAAGTTCTCCAAAAGGCATACCCTATCGAGCTTCCTTCTAGAAGGCGTGAACACGAAGGCATCCGGCGCGAGGTTCGCCGTTTAAAGAACATTTAAGGTCTGGGGACGATTACCTCAGCCCTTTAATACTCCATGTCAAAGAATTCATGAGACGTTGTTAAAAGGATGGACAGGCTGCAGTTCCCTTCAATCTAGTGCGATAGACGCATCAACAGTCGTTCAAGAACCGGCGCTCATCTCACTGCAGTCGACATTGCTCTCGAGTCAATACAATTGATGCTATGAGCTCTACTCGGCAGACCGGGAGTTGGAGGGGGAATTTTCAGAAGTCTCCCAATTTAAATTTTACAGTATCATAATGGAAATAGCTTTAGAGACGTTACTCGGATTTGAGCTGAAACAGCATCAAAAACTGATTGACGGATACAGCCCGTTTTGCAATTATTCAAGAGTAATAGTTTTTCTGCGAAACACCAACTTATTTCAATGTTCAAGGCGTTTATTGTGAATCAAGTGAAACGCTTTTCTGCAAACGTACGTCCGCAATCCGATTTTGAGTTGAGCTTTTGTAAAATTTTGTAATTCAAACGGAAGGTGAGAATGATTGCCCTATGGATGCGATATATTTTGTGATATTTTTAATTTCATTTTTTTTATTTTCATGCTTTATGATTAACCACCGAAAAACTACGTATGTAGGGTTGGTGTTGGTTTATGTGAGTTTGGGTTTCCACGTTCAAAACTGCGCCGGTCCCACGCGGGTAAAAAGCTAAAACGCGCAGTGTCATCATTATGTTGTAAAATAGGTAAAAAGACCTCAAGATAACAATAAAAGGCTCTTATAGGAGATAGAAAGCTTTTGAAACATTTAAGGTGGTATCGTTGAAGGGTTTTATATTCAATAACCGAAGTCCGCGACATTACTATTGTATATCCGTGTATAACTACAATCCAAGGAGCATTCCAAAATAAACATAGAAAAATATGGTTCGTATCAGCACCCTAGAACATTGTGAAGGTACATACCTGGTATTTGGCTGAAATTAGAAAGCATCCAAGTAAGAGATGAAGCGCGACGGCGAGCATGAGAGCAGTGGACATTGTTATTATCTGTGGGTCACTTGCTTCTAGATAACACTATTGCGTGTTCGCTATCGAGGCGCTGACGAGGGAGAATAAACATTCCAGGGTAAAGCGCGTCACTTGTCATGACCACCGAGTTATAGATCTGGCTCAGTTAAGAGCAAAGAGTTCTTGGGGTTCATTGTACACTGTCTTTGCGTTTTGTTGAACTGGAACTCTTCAATCAGCTTCAAGTGACGACGTCTTGGGCCTTGAGCCCTACCTCAGGTTTACAAACTTAAAGGCAAACTCCGGGATAAAACGTGGGAGTTCTCTGTACAAATATGAAGCCCTGGGTGCTAACTGAATCGAACCTGGAGAAAAAAGCAGGGAACACCCCCAAAATAGTTCAAAATTATAACTTCCTTTTCGTTGCTTACTTACAAGCCAGGGCTGGGAAGATAACGTGTATGGACGTGTTCACAGCAACTGTTGGCTTTATGCCATCAACCAATCGGCTATAGAATTGACTCCTCCAACTTTCCTTATTTTTCTGTTTATTTGCGCTTTTTTGTTTGTTTTTCTTATTTTAAAAATTTGATTCTCATTAGAATGAGTGGCAAAGTTTCCTGTAATGGCCGTAACATAGGCTTTGGTATTGAAGTTGACAGTTGAAGTCCCACCTATCTTCCTACGACTCCTTTAACACGTTGACGACATCGCATGTTTTGGCATTTTGCACCTCGTGGGACAGGAGCGATTTTGCGACCGCGCCGTCCTCACCTTACTTCCGCTTATTTTTTGTTAAAAATGCACAATAACTAGAATTTCATAGGACTATTTCGGCAAGGATGAACGTATAAAGGTTAACTATATAAGTAGCAGTAGGTTTTTGTTTAGAAGAGTGCATAATGACCACGAAGAAGTAAAAAAACACGCTTTCGCTGCGAATGAAATTAAAAGCATTTGTATCTAAGTATTTCCATCACATGCAAATATATTGAAACTCACAGAGTTTTGTATTAACTAATTCTACAATCTTTCATATAAATGTTAACGACAGTGAAAGGAATACTAGGAAAGAATTGAAATGAAAGTTTTGTGCGTTCGGAAAATTTTTGCTAAATCATAGGATACTTGACCACTCTGGCTGCCAGGCGGTTTATAGTCATGCTAATGTATTATCTATAGAATGAATACAAGAAACCCGAGAAGAAGGAGCGCAAGCACGATAAAAATGAATAACACAGACTTGACGCGCTTGCGCGTCAGAATGTCCGATGCGGTGCGAAATTCTTGACGCGCATGCGCGTCAACTTGTCGTCAACGTGTTAAAAATAACAACTATTATCTAGTGTTCCATGTGGTTGTCTAAAGCAGCTTGCGCGCAAAAACTGAATCGCCACTTCGATAAAACTCTGCGCAAGAAAGTGCATGCACATATTTCCTTATTCTCACTTAGTTTACGAATTCGAATTAAGTAATAGTGTGCATTGTCTGACTGGCTTCGTGTTATTGTTCGTCAGTGGATATTATTCGATTGGAAGGCATCGTGGGGTCTAGTAAGCCAACATCGTGCGTGGTAACAATAGAGCAGATGGCAATATCATATGGTTCGTTATTTACAGGTGTTATCACTTTTTCTTTGATTTCTTCTGTTTTTATCGTCGCATTTAGCCAAGGTCTCTAAGATGCAGGTTTTTACTCTAGCTGTTTTGGAAATACTATTGTTACTACTGAAGTGTAGTGAATAATAGGGAGAAATTGTACATGAAGATGGTTTTATTGGGAACGTTGTAGATTTACAAAACAATGAAGCTATTCCGGTCCTGGAAACATATATTATTCTACTAGGTTGTAAGTATACAATGGTATATTTGTATTACTTGAAAAGCTGCAAAATTAAAAAAATTTCATTCTGAAGATCGTGCGCCACCATACGCCTTATTGTTATCCGTAGTAGATACATGTACATACAATATACATAAATCTCAATTTTTGCTGTACTATAGTAAGCAAAAGACTTGAAAAAGGTTTCGAAGTATCCGAATTGTCTCGACAACCAAATAATAGTAAGTGCATACATAAGTATGTGTTGATTTCGTCGTACACACAATCCCCCTGTACTGTTTGCTGTTGAGATCATTCCATATATTCAGGCGACCCCGTTCCGATTGCTGTTCTCGTCCGGTTCTCCGGAGACGCACGTTTCCACGCAATTTTCAGCACGGCTTCTTCCTTAGAGGTGATCACTGATATGGCGTGGGATCCAATTTTTCCTTTCTCACACTAAGGTGTTCATTCGGGAGTCTTGAGGTATTTTCAAGCACTAAACACTAAACATCACTGAACATGACTAAGGAACCCAATCAAAATGTTTTAAAATAATAAAAGCGATATTCGAAATCTGGTTGATAAAAAGAGGTAATCTTATGTCTCATGAACACATATCCACGATTGAAGGTGTCTTTCGAGTTGGCCAGATATGCCTTCATTGCCGAGTAGTCATGCCGGATCCATGAAATTGAGTGTTTCCAATTCTCCTTGAAGACCAACAGCTTCAGAATATTTGAAGAAATGACTAAAAGTTAGCTACATGGGGTCCCATCAGTATTTCACCACGGTTTACACCCTGTTGTCTTTTCCAGAATGGAACTCCAAATATTCATATGTAATCTTCAAGCCGACCATCAAATTGCTATTAATGAAGCCTCTGTTGCTGTGATTACCGCTCAAATAGGGGATCTAGTTACCGAGGGAGGGGCACACGGTGTGATCGTTCGTGCGGAGACAGTGCTCCCAATTCTGAAAGAAAGAGAGAAAACTCAAAAGGTGTAAAGGTCAAAGTGTGTACAAAGCGAAACGAAATGGTTTATGCACCACACAGCTTCCTCATTTTGCCAAAATTGTGGTACTGTAGATTATAGATAGCAAATTTTGGAGCAAGCATTCACACATTCCTCTGCTCAAGATGGTTGAGCTAGTGTTGTTGATGGCACCATGAATGCTGGGGAAATTGGCTGAGTAGCTAGATCAGTTGAAGCACCGATCCATGAACTACAGCTCTTGCAGCCGGTTGTAGATTCCTTATCACCCAGGCTAACAAAGATTTCTCCACTCTAACTGGTTGGTCAATGATTATCTGAGACTGGTGCTGGACGCCGCATAACTCGACATTACGTCAGACATCGCCGGCTCTGCGCTCGTCCGTAGTAGCAATTCGATCAGCGTGTCGGTCTTTGGAAGACTGATTGTCTTGTTTGTTTTATTTATGTATTTCATGATTGTTTTTAAATGAATTACTCTCACGTATTTAACCATGTTCAGACGTGTACTCATACGACTAGGGCCGGATAGCGAATGCGATGCATCACAATCGATTTGTAATACTAGCTTGTCAGGAGTGTTCATTGGTGTCAATGATTTCGTGGTGCTCGCAACATGACATCAAACAGTTAGTTGCACTTGCGCGTTCGAGAAGTCTATTTGCCCAACTATATCGTTCAGAACGTAGGCCAAATTCTTCGCCATTCAGACGTTCACGTCGCAGGTTTCTTCATCACACCCAGATTCGGTACTTTTTTATTTTCCGACCATCTTCCTTTCGAAAAATGACAATGTCAATAAATAGAAAAACTTGTTCATCTTAAAACTGAATGCACGGGAGTGAGTCAATCCAACTAGCTTCGAGTTCACTCGCAAGGACAAACACTGGCACAGTCGCCCTCCTTGCAGGCAACGACCGGAGAAATCGCACTGCAATGCTTTGCCTTATTCTAGTGAGTTACTAACCACATTTTCGTTTTTCTGAACTCATTGAGAGTAGAAAAAATCTCTATTTGAGCATCTTTCTCCTGCGTTTGTCTCTGGAGTTAATAATTTACATTCTTCGCTCCTGCTCGAGATCAAGGAGGTGATTTGAACATTTCTCCTCGATCACAGGAAACATAAAGGTCACCTCTGAGACTGATACCGTCCAGTATATCTCGTGATGCATCATTTCGTTCCACAGTGGTGTATTTGTGTTTCTGTTAAAGTGAGAGAGAAGACGAGAATATATAAGAATGAGTAAAAGGCAAATAGAAATGGAATACCACGGGTGCTCATCAATCTGAGAAAGGACGCCTCTAGTTCTGGTAAGTACCCAGGACCAGGGTCAACCCTACGTTGGTACAAGTACCAACGGGGGGGGTCGCAGTTTGTGGTGGGGGGTCGTACTTGTTTCGATAGCACGAAATTACACGTGATGAGGTGAGAGGAGAAAATTTGCTGTTTCAGCGTGCATATATATCCCCCAACTGGAAAATGTTGTAGTGGAAATATAGGGAAAAGAGGCGAAATAGTGTGAAAATGAGGGAAAAGTAAAGGGAAATAGAGGAAATTTTTGCGGTTTCATGGTAGTTATATACCCCCTCCCGCTCGACGGTGTTTTTCGAGGGAAAAATAAGTTGTGAAGAAGGGGTCGTATGAAATCTGTCGTGAAGGAGGGGGGTCGTAAAAATTTTGCAAAAAGTCCCAACGATAGGACCGACCCTGCCCAGGAATCGTTCTAATTAGACAATTCAGGCAATACTGCCTTCAAGCCATAATTTTTTTTCAAATCTGTAAGTTAAGGTGGTGCTAATGCGGGAAGCGTCGTCTATCTCTTGTCCACCATGCTCTAATGGTTTCCAGTGTGATACCAATACAGGTATATGTCGGCAGTTTCGTCAAGCTTATACAAGCCCAACGGAAAGGCCTTGCGGTAGCTGCCCTCAGGGCACGATGTGCGATTCAAATACTGGTAATATCCGCTGATTCATCAACCGTTCATAATTCTTTGTGCAGTTTTCCGTGTTATATATGTATATTTATGTACAGGAGTATGTCGCGCATTCCGTTTTCCTGGAAATTATGATCAGGTGAGAGAGCAAGTTTTGAGGCAGAGGACGTGCTGAGGGTGCACTGGATGGGCCCAAATTGTGAGGAGTCATTATGGGGTACCCGACAGATGATGTGCCAAGTAGACGTACAATGGTACACACATTCTATTTAACTTGACGCGAAATCACTACAGTACGTGCTGCGACTCGTCCGCTGACTCTGTTGTTGCCGCCTCACGGGCCTCCTGCCGAGTACCCGTCTTTATTCGTCAAAAACGCATAGTAGCCTGATGGGCCAAATAGACTCCAAAAAGTGTTTGTTACTCATATCACAAATCGAAACCAGACTAGGATTGAGATGTGCCACGTTTTGCTTTGAAATAGCCTTCAGATGAAGAAACGAAGGAGCAAGCAACTAAGCCTGGTTAGAATGATTTCAGGCTTTCTAATTTGCCTTCCTCAGAATTCAAGCTTGGGGATTTTACTAGCGTTTTGTTACAACCGTTCACCTACACCGAACTCAAAAGGTGCAAAGCGTCAAAGTAATGTACAAGCGAACGACAATGCGTTTATGCCACCACACAGCTCCTTTTTAGCCAAAAATTGTGGTTACTGTAGTTTATAGATAGCAAATCTTGGAGCAAGCATTCACACATTCCTCTGCTCAAGATGGTTGAGCTAGTGTTGTTGATGGCACCATGAATGCTGGGGAATTGGCTGAGTAGCTAGATCAGTTGAAGCACCGATCCATGAACTACAGCTCTTGCAGCCGGTTGTAGATCCTTATCACCCAGGCTAACAAAGATTTCTCCACTCTAACTGAGTTGGTCAATGAGTATCTGACTGGGGAACGCAAACACCCACGGACATCGGCAGGCTCCCGCGATCCGTTGTAGCAATTCGATCACTGTTCCGTAGTTTGAAGACTCGTATTCTTGTTTGTTTTATTTATTTTATTTCCTGTTGTTTTAAGATTTCTCTTCAAGTAGTAAGCCACGTTCCCTAAACGGTATCTACACTAGGATAGGAAGGGATTTGTGCGATTATTAACCTAGCCTTGTCAGGGTGTTCATCTGGTGTCTTACATGATTCGCTGCTCGCACATGACGATCCAAAACAGTTAGTTGCACTTGCGCGTTCGAGAAGTCTATTTGCCCAACTATATCGTTCAGAACGTAGGCCAAATTCTTCGCCATTCAGACGTTCACGTCGCAGGTTTCTTCATCACACCCAGATTCGGTACTTTTTTATTTTCCGACCATCTTCCTTTCGAAAAATGACAATGTCAATAAATAGAAAAACTTGTTCATCTTAAAACTGAATGCACGGGAGTGAGTCAATCCAACTAGCTTCGAGTTCACTCGCAAGGACAAACACTGGCACAGTCGCCCTCCTTGCAGGCAACGACCGGAGAAATCGCACTGCAATGCTTTGCCTTATTCTAGTGAGTTACTAACCACATTTTGTTTTTCTTGAACTCCATTAGAGTGAAAAACTCTCTATTCTCGAATCTTTTCTCCTTGCGTTTTCTACTGGAGTAATAATTTACATTCTTCGCTCCTGCTCGAGATCAAGCAGGTGATTTAAACATTTCTCCTCGCTCACAGGAAACATAAAGGCCACTTCTGGGACTGATACCATCCAGTATATCTCGTGATGTATCATTTCGTTCCACAATGGTGTATTTGTGTTTCTGTTAAAGTGAGAGAGAAGACGAGAATATATAGAATGAGTAAAAGGCAAATAGAAATGAATACCACGGGTGCTCATCAATCTGAGAAAGGACGTCTCTAGTTCTGGTAAGTACCCAGGACCAGGGTCAACCCTGGGGGGGGGGTCGCAGTTTGTGGTGGGGGGTCGTACTTGTTTCGATAGCACGAAATTACACGTGATGAGGTGAGAGGAGAAAATTTGCTGTTTCAGCGTGCATGTATATCCCCCAACTGGAAAATGTTGTAGTGGAGATATAGGGAAAAGAGGCGAAATAGTGTGAAAATGAGGGAAAAGTAAAGGAAAATAGAGGAAATTTTTGCGGTTTCGTGGTAGCCATGTTCCCCCTCCTCGCACGACGGTGTTTTTCGAGGGGAAAAATAGGTTGTGAAGGAGGGGGTTGCATGAAATCTGTTGTGAAGAAGGCGGGTCGTAAAAACTCTGCAGAAATTTCCAACGATAGGACCGACCCTGGCCAGGAATCGTTCTAATTAGGCAATTCAGGCAATACTGCCTTCAAGCCATAATTTTTTTTTTTTCAAATCTGTAAGTTAAGGTGGTGCTAATGCGGGAAGCGTCGTCTATCTCTTGTCCACCATGCTCTAATGGTTTCCAGTGTGATACCAATACAGGTATATGTCGGCAGTTTCGTCAAGCTTATACAAGCCCAACGGAAAGGCCTTGCGGTAGCTGCCCTCAGGGCACGATGTGCGATTCAAATACTGGTAATATCCGCTGATTCATCAACCGTTCATAATTCTTTCTTTGTGCAATTTTCCGTGTTATATATGTATATTTATGTACAGGAGTATGTCGCGCATTCCGTTTTCCTGGAAATTATGATCAGGTGAGAGAGCAAGTTTTGAGGCAGAGGACGTGCTGAGGGTGCACTGGATGGGCCCAAATTGTGAGGAGTCATTATGGGGTACCCGACAGATGATGTGCCAAGTAGACGTACAATGGTACACACATTCTATTTAACTTGACGCGAAATCACTACAGTACGTGCTGCGTCGTCCGCTGACTCCGTTCTTGTTGCCGCCTCACGGCCTCCTGCCGAGTACCCGTCTTTATTCGTCAAAAACGCATAGTAGCCTGATGGGCCAAATAGACTCCAAAAAGTGTTTGTTACTCATATCACAAATCGAAACCAGACTAGGATTGAGATGTGCCACGTTTTGCTTTGAAATAGCCTTCAGATGAAGAAACG